GAAGCGTTGCCTCTGCTGCTCCATTCATGTTCAACACCTTAGACAACACCCCTGTCTACAGGTGGACTCTGCATGGTCCCTACTTCCTAAAACTAATAAGTGGGTACATATAATTGGCAAAGCCCAGGGTACATGTCAGTGCCCCATTACAAGGGAGACTGGGAAAGCAAATTTTGGAGTCTACCTCAAGAAAGCAGAATTTATAATTGTGAACATTTCTTCACACACAGGATGTGTTCCAAGGATGTTGGATGGCCACAAGCATGACAGTTATAATGATCGCATTTTACAGATAGAAAAAGTGAGGCTTAAACTCAGAGGGCCTGTAACTTCACTAGTAACCACCGCTAGTAAGCAATTTAATGAGATTTAAACCCAGAGCTGTCTGAATGCACTGTGCTCTTTGGCACTCTGCTACACTGAGTATTTTATGGTGATTATGCTTTCCCAGCAAGGAGCAAAAATAAATAAAACCTCCAATTTGCCAAATCAAAGTTTGTTTCTCAACTTTTTCTTTTTCACTATCACCCCTCTCCTCTCCCTTCTTTGTCCAATGAAAAGATATGTGTTCCTATATCCTATTTGTGCAACCAGTATTAGTCAGGACTCTTTGTTGCAGGCAACAGAAACCAACAATCATTAGTGTAAGAAGAAAAGAAATATGTTGAAATTTTTTAACCCCCTCAAGAATTACAAAGTATCTGGGGAATCAAGCTCAGAAAACATGCAGAAGCTCAGGGAATTCCTATGATTGAAGCCACAGCCAAGACAACACCACAGGAACAGCCTGGCTAGGAGGCTGCTGCCCCAGTTGGATACTGCCGCCAGCACCACTGCCAATAACCACTGTACATGGCCACTGCTGAAATCAATGGCAGAATAAATTCAACTCTTCCTGTCTTTTTGCAGCACTTGATGCAAAACCAAGCACTGATTGGCCAAGCTTGGGGCAGAGAGGACAAGTATTGGGGCTTCTGCAGAGGAAGGCTAGGCCCTGCCTCCACCCAGACTCCTGGAGGAGATTCTCCAACCTAGAAAGTGGTTCAGATGCTGGCATGGTCAGCTAAGGATCAGAACTGAAGCACATCAGTCTTGGTGTCCTGCTGTCAGAGACCCATCTCTGTTAGTATGTGGAACTTGTCACAAATATGCGAGTCAACTTGCTCACTGACTTGTTGCCTATCCCTGAGAAATAAAATGTGGATCTGAGGTCTTCCTCATATATGTGCAAAATGAACAGGCTATGGCACTTAAAAGTATCCAGCCTTCATGCAGGAGATGGGGATGGTCTTGTCTATGGAGTAGAAGGATGAAGGCTTGGATGCAACTCACGATCAAGCCAAGAGGAGGAGGAGGAGAAAGGAGAAGAAGGGCAGAGGACTCCAACAAGCAGAGCTCAAAGCCTTTGATCATCACACACCCCCCTGGACATTCTATGGGGCCCAAAGGTAACCTTGAGGCCCTGAAGCACCACCAAAGGTGGTGTGCCCTCAAAGCAGAGGAACACTGTCTAGCCCCTAATTAGCTATACAAAATTAATAAGGAATAATCATAATAACCAGATACTCCACTAAGTGCTTTATATGGATTATCTTATTTCATGCTCACATAATCCCTTTAATGTAAGTCACATTCATTTTTTAAGGTAAGTCAATATCATCCCTATTTCAAAGATGAACAAACTGAAGCTCGGAGATATTGTTTAACTTGCTCAAGGTCACATAATAAGTGGCAGAACAAGAATTTGAATTCAGGCAGTTTTATTTCCAGGGCCTGCCCTAGTTCTTTCCCTTTTCCTTAGGAATCACAAACTGGAGGCCCAATGTAGATGCCACTGCCATGTTCTACACACCATTCAGTTTGGCCCCCTCCACTGAGTATTAAAAAGCTGTGTATTCCATAATGGCTGTACCAAATAAGAGCGTACAAGGGTTCCTTTTTCTCTGCATCCTTGTCAACATTTACTCTCTTTTGTCTTTTGACAACAGCCATCCTAACAAGTATGAGATGATATCTCATTTCTCAATGATTAGTGAAGTTGAATATGTTTTCATATACCTGTTGGTCATTTGTATATCTATTCTGAGAAATGTCTTTTCAGGTCCTTTGCCCATTTGATCACCTAGTTATTTGTTTTCTTGCCATTGAGTTCTTTGAGTTCCTTATATAGTTTGGATAGTAACTCCTTATCAGATGTATGGTTTACAAATATCTTCTCCTGTTCCTTAGACTGTCTCTCCACTTTGCTGATTGTTTCCTTTGCTGTGCAAAAGGTTTTTAGTTCCTCCAGCATTGTTCTTCTTGCTCCAAATTGCTTTGACTATTTGAAATCTTTTGTGGTTTACATGAAATGTATGAGCTTTTTTCTATTTCTGTGAAAAACATCATTGAAATTTTGGGAGGGAGTTTATTAAATCTATAGATTGTTTTGGGTAGTATGAACATTTAAACAATATCAATTTTCTAATCCATCTTTCCATTTGTCTGTGTCTTCTTTAATTTTTTCATCAGTGTATTATAGTTTTCAGACCTTTCATCTCTTTGTTAGATTCATTATTAAGTATTTTTAAATATTATTTAAAATGGGACTGATTTCCTGACATCTTTTGCAGATAGGGCATTACTAGCATATGGAAATGCTATTGGCTTTTTACACCAATTTTGTATTCTGCAACTTTACCCAATTTATTAGTTAAACAGTTTTTTGGTGGAATGTTTAGGGTTTTCTATATATAAAACCATGTTGTCTGCAAACAGAGACAATTTAACTGCTTTCATTCTGATTTAGATAACTTTCTTTCTTTTTCTTGCTTAATTGCTTTGGCTAGAATTTCCTGTATGATGTTGAGTAGAAGTGGCAAAAGTAAAGTGAGCCCCCTTGTCATGTTCCTGATCTTAGAAAATAAGTTTCTGCCTTTTCACCATTTTCACCATTGAGTGTGATGTTACCTGTGGGATTATGTTGATAAACAATAAAGTTCATGTACAGCAATCCCAGCTTTATTCCTTCTATATCTAATTTATTTTTTTAAGTCACAAAAGGTTGTAAGAATTTGTCATGTTTTTTTCTGTATATTGATATGATCATATGTTTTCCTGAAAAAATTTAAAATAGAACTTCTATATGATCCAGCAATTCTACTTCTGGCTATATATGCAGAGGAAATGAAACCAGTATGTCAAAGAGGTATCTGCATTCCCATGTTCATTACAGCATCATTCACAATATCCAAGATACGGAATCAACCTAAGTGTCCATCAATGGATGAATGGATAAAGAAAATGTGGTTATATATACATAATGAAATACTATTCAGCCTTTAAAAAAGAAAATCTTGTCATTTGCAACAACATGAATAGCACTGAAGGACATTATGTTAAGCACTGAAGGACATTATGTTAAGTGAAATAAACCAGATACAGAAAAATAAATAGTATGCATATATGTGGAATCTAAAAAAGTCTAACTTATAGAAGAAGCAAGCAAAATGGTAATTACCATGGGCTGAAGGGGTGAGGAGAGATTGAGAAGGTCAGAGGATATGAAATTTCAGTTAGACAGGAAGAATAAGGTCATATCTATTGCACAATATGGTGACTATAATGTATTGTATACTTGAAAATTGCTAAAAGAATAGATTTTAAGTGTTATCACCTCAAAAAAAAAAAAAGCGGCCGGGCGCGGTGGCTCAAGCCTGTAATCCCAGCACTTTGGGAGGCCGAGGCTGGTGGATCACGAGGTCAAGAGATCGAGACCATCCTGGTCAACATGGTGAAACCCCGTCTCTACCAAAAATACAAAAAATTAAGGCCGGGCGCGGTGGCTCAAGCCTGTAATCCCAGCACTGTGGGAGGCCGAGGCGGGTGGATCACAAGGTCAAGAGATCGAGACCATCCTGGTCAACATGGTGAAACCCCGTCTCTACTAAAACTACAAAAAATTAGCTGGGCATGGTGGCGCATGCCTGTAATCCCAGCTACTCAGGAGGCTGAGGCAGGAGAATTGCCTGAACCCGGGAGGCGGAGGTTGCGGTGAGCCGAGATCGTGCCATTGCACTCCAGCCTGGGTAACAAGAGCGAAACTCTGTCTCAAAAAAAAAAAAAAAAAAAAAATTAGCTGGGCATGGTGGCGCATGCCTGTAATCCCAGCTACTCAGGAAGCTGAGGCAGGAGAATTGCCTGAACCCAGGAGACGGAGGTTGCGGTAAGCCGAGATCGCGCCATTGCACTCCAGCCTGGGTAACATGAGTGAAACTCCGTCTCAAAAAAAAAAAAAAAAAGTATGTGAAGTGATGGACATGTTAGTTAGCTTGATTTAGCCATTCCAGAATGCACACATATATCAAAAGATCATGCTGTGCAGTATAAATATATGCCAATTTTTTGTCATTTAAAATGTATAAAAATTATTGTAGTATACCCAGGCAAGCATGATGCCTGATGGAAGAAGTAACTCAGCACCAAATTTTGTGCATGCTACTAGACTGAATTCTTTGCCCACCTCCTCCCACAAGTGTTGGCACCAGTGGGCCCTGCTCTGTTTGACAAATCGTATACTTCCATTATCCATACATTGCTTCTCTATAAAATGAGAGGGTTGGACTAGATGGTCTACCTCAAAGGTTCTTTTCAATTCTAAATGTTATATTTCTAACATTTTCCAGACGCTGAGCCACCCTCTTGGATCTAGAAGCCAGGAGGTCAGATCAGCAAGGTGATCAGCCATTCTCGGTCGTGCAGCCCAGAGAAACATAACCTCATCCTTGCTAACTCTGTGTCCAGCCATTGACACCCACAGAGCACACCCATTCAACTCCAGGCCAAAGAAAAGCATGAGGAAAGAAAGCTGATTTTTGTTAAATTACTGATTTCTACTTCCACAAGAATTAAGTAAAAATCTTTTGAAATATTAGGGAAGAAATAGGTTGTAAAGCACATGAGGAAAGATTAGTTCAAGTGGGCTTAGACTACATTTTAGTAATGTGGTTTTTCTGCCCCAGGGAGAAGCAAAGATGTTGAAAGATGGGAAGGTCTTCAGAGTGGTGCAAGAGAATTGCTGGGATCCAGAAGTTCGTGTTAGAGAAATGGACCAAAAAGGTACTATAAGAAATGCTACCAATGTTAGCATCTGATGTAAAAGCAATGTCTGTGCTTAAAGTTTGTTGACAACCTTACATGATGGTAACTTCTAACCCTCTTTTCTCTGCCAGGACAGGCTGTTCCAGCTTCACTGGGGGAGGGACAGGGCCCTTGACTACAATGCTTTTAGAGTTTATATTCAAAATGTTTTATCTGAGTTATACCCTGTTTTAAAATTGAATGCTATATCATGAAAAAGATAAAAGAGGCATTTTATTATTTTTAAAAAATAGTTCAAATGTATAGTATTTACTTATTATAAAATCAATTAAAAAAGTAAAAATTGGAAATCACAAAACTACGAATGAAAATTGCCTGCTCAGTAAAACTTAAGATCCAATTTCTCTGTGCAGTTTGTCTCACTGTACTCTACACAGAACATTCCCACTGACACATCAGGGGTGGAAATAGAAGCAGTTAAACAAAGTTAATTGTGTAATCTCAGAATACACTACAATAAAATCAATCCAGAAATTTGAAAGAAGTGAATTAGGAAGTGTTACTTTCAAAGCTGAATTGCTAACAAGCTCTAAGAACATCTTGCACTTTTTACATTAAATTTAAAAATCAAATGATTCCTCACAATTTAAAAGAATTTAAGGCCAGGCACAGTGGCTTGCACTGTAATCCCAGCACTTTGGGAGGCCGAGGCTGGTGGATCACCTGAGGTCAGGAATTCAAGACCAGCCTGGCCAACGTGGCGAAACCCTGTTTCTACTAAAAATACAAAAATTAGCCAGGCATGCTGGCATGTGCCTGTAATCCCAGACTCTTAGGAGACTGAGGCACAAGAATCACTTGAAACAGGGAGATGGAGGCTGCAGTGAGCTGACAACGTGCCGCTGCACTGCAGCCTGGGCGATAAAGTGAGACTCTATCTCAAGCAAACAAACAAAAAATTTCAAAGTCCTTCTAAAATATGACATGATGGCCACTTTATGCTTCACCTGTAACTGCCTGGCTGACTGTGCCACCCGAGGAAAGCATGCTCCAAGAAAACGCCTGAGCCTTCCAGACACACGTGGGCTGCATCCATGGGCTGTGATGGGGATCTGACCGCCACTGACATTGTCAGAACTACACATTTCCATTGGTGGAACATTGCAACCAGAAAAGAAAGAATTCAAATACACAAATAAAAGAGCAGTTTAGCACTTCCACCTTCCTAATCAAAGACAAATTATAAGAAGTTCAAATATACACAGAGATGTTAGGAGACATTTTATTCCAAGGTCTGCAGAAAAGGAATCAACCCATCAGCCCAAAATGAGTAGGTGGTCTCCAGCACACTGGAATTAGCTGTAGATACCTTCATCCAGGTATTGCTTTATATATTTTTTAACAATTAAAAATAGAGCCAGGTGTGATGGCTCATGCCTATAATCCTAGCATGTTAGGAGGCCAAGGCAGGGGTATCACTTGAGCCCAGGAGTTCAAGATCAGTCTGGGTAACGCAGTGAGATCCTGTCTCCACAAAATAATAATAATAATAATAAATTAGTCAAGGATGGTGGCATGTACCTGACATCCTAGCTACTCGGGAGGCTGAGGTGGGAGGGTCACCTGAGCCCAGAAGTTTGAGGCTGCAGTGAGCTGTGACTGCACTACTGCACTCCAGCCTGGTGGCAGAGCAAGACCCTGTCTCTAAAAAAATTCTTTTTAATTAACAGTATATTTTAGTGGCATTTAAATTGAACTTTGCAGAAAACCTGCAGCACCTCTGTAGAGTACTCCACAATATAGCATATATCACCCTGTTCTAAAAGTATATTGGAGTGAGAGAAGAGCTGGAGAAAGAACATGCTTCCCTGACCTACAGCAAAGAGCAAGGTTTTGTAGGAAATGTGGAGCTACAGCAAGGACCTTTTCTCCTTTTCAAGGAGAAACTATTGAGCATGAGACTTGAATGACTGGTGTCAGAAATCACTGCTTATGGCTGCAGGATAAACAAAGGGCATGTGTCATCTTTGGTTTTTGTTGTGTGTTTCATTCCTTGGCTGTCCTTGAGAGAATCAGTCATGACCAACCCTCACTGAGTATTTACTTTGTGCCAGGCACTATTCTAAGAACCTAACGTGTATTAATTCATTTAATCCCTACAACAACCTTAGGAAGTAGGCCCTCTTGAAGACAAAAGATTCTTGGCATCCTGGATGCTGCAGTCAAATTCAGGGTCCCATTCTGGGTATTCCAGATCATGGGACTCCTTCTAGGATCACTCAGAGGCTGAATTAATGGGGCAGGGAAGGTGGCTGAGAGACATGCTCTGTTGTACATGACCTAAAATGGAAAACCTGAAAAAGTCTTGCTTAAATAAAATTTCACAGGAAGGAGGGTAGAAATAACTCTCCAGAAATGGGGTCAGTTAGTTTTCCTTGAATGATCTCATTTGTGTCCAACCTTTACTTATTTCCCTAGAATCTGGGGCTGGGGGCTGAGGGAGGCCTAGGGAGGGACCGAGAGAGGGACACAGGGAGGGAGAGCAGGAGGACTTTAGGGTGGAGGCTGGCTGCCGCTTGGCCTTGGGAAAGGAAGGAGTGCCGAGGCTGTTCTTCTCACCAGCTTTGCCTTTCTTTGTGTCCAAATCTAGGAGTAACAGTGCAAGCCCTTTCCACAGTTCCTGTCATGTTTAGCTACTGGGTGAGTGTGAAACCGTAAGCCATCTCCTTGGTGTTTAAGTTTCGTGTCCAGCTCCCAAAACGTGAACAGATGCCTCAAGTCTGGACACCAGTGCCACTGACCACCCCCAACAACTGTCCTCCCCTTTAGACATCAGCAGGGTCCCCTCTCAGAACTGTCTTCACAGCCGAGTCTTTGCTCCAGTATGGTAGCCAGTAGTCACATGTTGCTATATGACTTGCATTATAGTTCCACTGTACAGTGGTTCTAGACCAGCCTTAATCTCCACCAGAACTTATGTGTCTGGTGGCTCATTCCTGCAATGCCTTGCTGAAGTAGGAAGATAAATCATGACGCACTACATTACCTCTCCAAGGGAAAAAGACAACTCAGAAGGAGAATCCTGAAGTTGGATGCTCTTTCCCAAGTGAATAAATCTCAAGCACTAAAAGTTTCAGGCATTATTTCCAGCCTATAGAGGAAAATTTTTGTACGGAGCTGGGAGCGTGCTAAGTCCCTGCTCATCCAAGCAGATACTCTCGTGATTTAAGGAGCAATGGAAATACCACCTGTTCTAACACACTTCTCCAACCTGTGCTCATAAAGCCATTATTAGCGAGTGACTCCGTCCTTACCTGTTCCTGAGAATGCATTCACTATTTAAAAGTGCCCTGAGACCTCAAGATGCCTGAATTTATCAGACTGGCTACCACTCTGACTAAACAACTGAGACTGCAAGAGAGCATCAGATTCCTAGCAGTGAGCTGGGGACAGTGGGGTGACAGAAGAAAGAAAACAGTGAAGAAGGGAGCTTTAGGGAAACAGACAGCAAACTTTGTCTGCCTCAGCATTTTGCCAAGGACAGTCCTGAATGTCACAGCCAACAGGAAGGACAGAGAGGAGGACAGGCAGGGACAGGACAAGTCAGTGAGTCAGCCTGGCCACCCTCAATGAGACGTGACAAGGAGGTGCCTTGATGGTGGCCTGGGGCCCTTGGCTAGGCCTAACCTCCTGGGAGGTGGGGGGTGGGGGCATTAAGATATTTCTGCAGTTGGGGATAGCCCATGCTCATTCCATCTCTAGTGTAAGGATACCAGGCCCAGTAATTGTGTCCTTCCCTTCTGATTCTGGCCTCAATTTTTCTAATGAATCAGCAATACACTTGCAGTTTTCTTTGCTTTACAAAAATTGGCTTCTGGGTCTTAGGTGGCCAGCGCCTTTCCCAATCTGTGCCTCTGTTTTCTGATGTGGTAAAGCCATTGAAAATTGCAAATATTATAGACACAAGGAGGCACTGTTCAGAGCAAATGTCTAAAAGTAGTGTGTGTGTGTGTGTGTGTGTGTGTGTGTGTGTGTGTGTGTGTGTGTGTGTGTTTGAGACAGAGTCTTGCTCTGTCGCCAGGCTGGAGTGCAGTGGAGCAATCTCGGCTCACCGCAACCTCTGCCTCCTGGGTTCAAGCGATTCTTCCGCCTCAGCCTCCCACGTAGCTACGACCAGAGGCACGTGCCACCATGCCCAGCTAATTTTTGTATGAGAGGGAGTTTCGCTCTTGTTACCCAGGCTGGAGTGCAATGGCGCGATCTCGGCTCACCTCAACCTCCGCCTCCTGGGTTAAGGCAATTCTCCTGCCTCAGCCTCTTTAGTAGCTGGGATTACAGGCACGCGCCACCATGCCCAGCTAATGTTTTGTATTTTTAGTAGAGACGGGGTTTCACCATGTTGGCCAGGATGGTCTCGATCTCTTGACCTCATGATCTGCCCACCCTGGCCTCCCAAAGTGCTGGGAGTAGGTTTTCAACAATGCAGTTTTCCCTTTTCTGTCTCCACCAGGCCAAACCTCAGGACACTTTAAACCTATGCCAGCTTTTAAACAATGACCTTGCCACCACCGTTGCGAACTACCCCAGGAGGTTTGTGGGTCTGGGGACGTTGCCCATGCAGGCCCCTGAGCTGGCAGTCAAGGAGATGGAGCGCTGTGTGAAAGAGCTGGGCTTTCCTGGGGTCCAAATTGGCTCCCACGTCAACGAGTGGGACCTGAACGCGCGGGAGCTCTTTCCTGTCTATGCGGTGAGTAGGCGGGACTGCTCAGCCAACGCCAGCCGTCCAGCGCCTGGACTGGGGACACTGCTGGGTGCTGGCGGGGAGGAGGTGAAGCACCACCTCACTGGGAGGGGATAGCAGTGCCCACGACTTATCAGATATAGGTAAAAGATGTGGAAATAGCTCCCACAAAGGAGTGGGCCATTCCAAAGAGGAACTGGTAGAATGGTTCCTAGGCCAGCGCTGAGTTAACACAGTGAAATCTCTTGTCCCTCCTTCCCCCTTGCCCTCCTTTTAATCTCTCACTTGGAAGCCAAAATACCCTCTTCACAGCCAGTGTGCAAAAGAATCATGTTAATGACATGTAAAAAAAAAATATTTTGGCCAGGTGCAGTGGTTCCCACCTGTGATCCCAGCATTTTGGGATGCTCAGGCGGGTGGATCACTTGAAGCCATTGGAGACTAGCCTGACTAACATAGCAAAACCTTGTCTCTACTAAAAATACAAAAAAATTAGCCAGGCATAGTGGCATGTGCCTGTAGTCCCAGCTACTTGGGAAGCTGAGGCATGAGAATCTCTTCAACGCAGGAGATGGATGTTGCAGTGAGCCAAGATTGTGCCACTGCACTCCAGCCTGGGTAAGAAAAGCAAGACTCCATTTCAAAAAAAAAAAAATCTGCTTTGGAAAAAAAATACTTAACATTTGTCAAAATTATAAAATAATTTGAAAGAAATTGTGGAAAATACAGAAAAGTATAAAGATGAAAACAAACATTATCCATAATCCAGCCTCTCAAAGATAAATTGCCACTGTTATAGTACATATTCACTTTTTTTGATATGCATATATCTATATTTTAATGAAACTGAAATTCTGTTACACATGTGATTTTGTATGCTAATTAAAAATTTCCAACATAAGTGAAAATTCTTTTAATGCATACTTTTTAAATAACTGCAGAATATTCCAATATATGGCTATGTTTTGATTTATTTAACCAATCTGTAATTAAGATACTTTTTAAATCATATATTTTGGAAAACGTTAACATTTGGTGAAACTAGGTGGTGGGCATATGGATGCTCATTGTGTTATTATTTACACTTTCTATACTTAAAATATTTCATGGTAAAATGTATTTTCAAAAATTCAGTGCTATTCATTTCTAAAATATCCAAACTCAAGTGTCCATAGTTTCACAGTCATCTCCATCAGTCTTCTTCTTCTTTCTCCACTTTCAATTCTTTCTATAACCAAACCTTCTCATCTCAGTGCTAAGATTCAGGATGCATAATTCTTTACTCAATTGCATTTTTTAATGTTTTATTTCCCTCCTAGAATTATAATATTGTTTTCTATTATTTTCATTATAAATGCAAAATCTTCAATAATGACTTAATTAGATATTTGTGGACTCACCAGGCAGTGTGATTACTGATCATTTACACATTTAGTATTTATGGAGGTCTAACTACAGGCAAAAAATTTTCCATGTTTGTATCTATGGCGACTGCCCACCAGTCAGGGGATTGCCTGTTAAATTGCCTCCTAATGACTTGAAAGATTTAATGTTCCTCAAAATATTGAACTCCCTGAAGCTTACTGGCTGCAGTGGCTTAGCTGATGCAGTGAATGTTTTTTAGAAACTTTAATGAATTTTAAAAGAGGATTTATTTACTTATACATCCAAGTTGTTTCAGCACAGTGTGAGCGAGACTTCAGCTGCAAGTCATTTTAGCATTCATTGGATTTGGGCTTATGAAGTACTAAGGGGCTTTGAAAGCAACAGCAGCCGGTTGGGGTCCAGATGGATATTTTCATTTGTGTGACTAGCTCGACCCATCAATCATTCTAACTGGGCTGTTTTGGGGACATCCAGTCTCTGAGGGGATTCAGGAGCACCTCCTGTCCCCAGGTGACTCATGACATCCTGGGGGTGGCAGCATATTTGTTTGGTTAGCAAGGTTTGCCTGCCTCTCTGCTCTCTAGCTTGCGTCAATAATGTGCTGAAACGAATTATCATGAGCCAAGTTGGCTTTGTCATTTCAAGGTGATCCTGGCACTCCAAAGGTCTAACTGTCCCTTTATCTCCTACACCTCCCTTTTTAGTGAGTAAACCCAATCACACATGCTCAGGTAAGTTTTCAGGTGCAAAAGCAACTTCGTTACTGGTATAAGGCAGACAGAATGGTAATGCCAACTGCCCAGCTCCACCATCTATCAGCCACAAGGCCTGAGTAAGTTAGCCTCTATCTGCCTTAGTTCTCTTCTCTGTAAAATGAGGGTAGTAAAAGTGTGCTACTCATAAAAAATTAATCTAGTTAATAATTGTAAAATTCTCATAACAGCTGTGGCACATAGTAAGTTTGCAGTCAATGTTAGTTATAATTGCGAGAGTATAACTTCTTTTTCTATTCTCTACAAAGCCTCACATATAGAAGGAGATCAACAATATGTTAATTTGAATTGAACAGAAGATTGGTATCAAAAAACTACCTACTGGGTACTATGGTTATTACCTGGGTGATAAAATAATGTGTACACCAAGCCCCTGTGACATACAATTTACCTATATAACAAACCTGCACACGTACCCTGAACATAAAAATTAACAAGAAATAAAATTAAAAGAAAAAAATTTTTAAAAAGAAAAGAACCACCAAAGGCACATAGGATGAAGTTGTGTCAAAATGAGGAGTCAAATCCCACTGAGATACCAACCTTGTACCTTTGCCAAACCCAAACCATCCCAAGAAGTCAATATTTTCTTTCCAACCTACATCTATTATCAGAAACCAATTAGCTTCTCTCTCTTTAAAAGGCTTATATCTCTTCTGCTCCCCAGAACCTGTTGAATCAAAAGTCCTTTCTTCAAGTTACCCTTTTCGTGACACTTCCAGAATCCCCTGTTGTCCCAGACCTGGTTTTCCATTTAAAAAATGCTCACGTACACAACTCACATTGCATCAGCCTGGCTAGCACAAATATTTATGTATGAGAGTAGGATGAGTCACTGCAGAACCTCAATATATGTGGTGAAGAATTATTCTAAGGGAAATCTCTTTTGAATCTTGATGAGCACTAATATTCAATGCCTGTTGAGGGGACTTCTTTTAATTAAACTTTTTGTTGAATAAAGGTCATTCTATCCAAATGGTATTTCCATTTTCAGAAGGCCCTGAGGCATGCCCATGACATTCATCTCAGTACCTGTCTGGCTAAGGCATTGATCTCTCCCCTCTCTGAGGTCATCTCACTCACAGCCGACTATTCAGAGACTCTGCTGGGCACCTGGGGCTGTGTGAATGCCTGTAGACCCCAGGGATTTCACTCAGGGCTGGGCTGTGAGTGGTCAGGTGGCTTGGGTCAGGCCAGCCAGCCCCAGCCCAGCACTGAGCCTTTAGCGCCAGTCCATCACTTCCTCACTTTCCACAGACTCAGGTTTTCAAGTGGGGAAAAGGAGGGGCACTCTCATCCTGACTCCAAGGATACAGTTATTTACAAGCTGTCCTTCCAAAAGAGTAGAACAAGTTGGAGCCAGCAGGGAAAATTTCTCCTACATTTCAGGTGTGGGATTAGTCCTTGGGCATTTTGCTCTCAACCAAAACATTTGAATGATGTATGTTTCCTGACACTTGCTTTATCAAACGATAAATTAAGTTCATCAACTTCAATGGTGAATCTGCCAACCCCCTTTGTTAATTCTAAGTGTCCCTTTTATTTTCCAAGCAGGAGCAGTTTGTCAGTATCTCTTTTATATAGATCATAAAACAATTTCAAAAGCATTTTAGTTTATTTATGCAGACCAATATAGACTCAAAGAAAAGCAGTTTCCCCAAAACAGTACCTGGTATCTGCTCACTCATCAAAGTAACTCATTCTCTCTCTCTCATTGCTTCTTTGAAGGCAGCTGAAAGGCTGAAGTGTTCCTTGTTCGTGCATCCCTGGGACATGCAGATGGATGGACGAATGGCCAAATACTGGCTCCCTTGGCTCATAGGTTTGTGTCTCTGTGGGGTCTGGAACAGAGGACCAACTCTTGGGTTTGTCCAATCATCTATGGAAACCTATTATGTCAAATAGGGAAAGTATGAATAATTAACAGGATTATGAGTAATAGCAGCTATCACTTGCTGAGCTCTTACTTGGATTAGTGCTATATATTACCTCATTTAATTGTAAACATATCCAATGCCATTATAAATCATATATTTAATCTATGAAGTTGACATTATAATGACCATTTCACAGATGGAGAAACTGAGGCTTGGAGTGTTTAGGTAAGTTGCCCAAGTCACACAGTTAATATATGAAAATGTAATTTACAGATGTGTCTGACTCCAAAGCCTGTCTTGCTACACAGACTTCCAAAAAGGCTTCAAAAAATGTAACCATGCCTATCTAGCAGACTTTTTAGAAGATAATAATAGCATCAGCTCATTCAAATGAGAACCCTGGAATTAAAAGTATAAGGTCAACTTTCACCACCCAAAGATTTGAAATATTAGATAAAAGATGACCCAGGCTTGCAATTTTCCTAGTATCTGCTTCTCTCTTCTCTCCTCTGGTTCCTGCACTATCCATAGTTCCACAAAAGAGTAGAGGGGAAAACTCCATTTGCTCTATTCAATCTCTCATTACCAGTTGTGATAAGAAGAGATAGGGAACAGATATAAAATTCTGGAGCTATCAGTGAAAAATACAGCTCATCTATAAATCCAGTGAAAACTTGGTCCCCAAATGAAAAGCACTGGATTTTTTTTTCTTTTTCTTTTCT